GAGAGGGCAAAAATTGGTACAAATAGCAGGTGGGGAATTCAAACAAAACCTGCTTGCTAATTAGTATCATTTAAGTTAATTGGTCACAGAGAGAAACCTGCACAGTTGTGCTCATGTTGTGTGAAGAATAATGTAAAGAATATGGCTGCACAGGTAACACACAGTTTTCAATCAAGATCTTGTAGGAAGGACTGGATAGATTTCTGATCAAATTTTTAGTTTAAAGAAGCACTTGAATTCATTTTTTATAATATTTGTATGTGCTATGGAATGAATAGCAAGTGTCACTGTAGCTTTTGCAATGCTTATGATATCAGGGGAGCTGTCAATTAAAAACAAATTCTGATCCCTCTATTTTAGGATGCATTCGACAAGTAGAGGCAAATGATGTGATTGTCAAATTCCTTCAAAAAGGTACTATTTCCTAAACATTATGTATTTTCTGATGAAAGAGCTGTGAGATCAGAAGGTAGATATCAAAATTATTGCAGAGGGTATTATAAAATGTAATTAAAAAGAAATGCTATAAATAAGAGCTTAGAAGATGGTACAGAAGCACGGTGTTGCCATAATTACTTAGATTATTTACATATTTGTTCCAAAATGTATATCTCACTTTTCCCCCTAAAATAGATATCAGAGCCACAAAGAAAATATGCACACTAAAATAAATTAAATAGAAAGATAATTGGGACGTTAGAAAGACTTTGGCTCTGAACTTTCTGGCAGTGAGACACTAAAGTGAACGTATTAAGTTACATTATTCTAGAGAGGAGAAAATGTAAAAGCACTCTGTTTCCACAGGAGAAAATCTTTTTCCTGCATTTCATTCTAAAAGGAGTTTATGAAATGAGGTTGTTTATAGTGGACATTAACTAGCCTAGCAGACAACATCTTTGGCAAAATTCTTCAAAAAAATTGCATGAAACTTTTTTCTTCAAACATAGTAAATTACATGATATTAAAAAGCAAGTAAATAGGTAATTTTTCAAGAGGCTTAGTTTATTGAATTCAAATATCTAAGATACTTGATCTAACTTGCTACAGTGACAAAATTTGAGGTGCATGAGGAATAACGGACTGAAAGTCTCTTAGATTATCTCCCCTAAGCATTTTCATTTGAGTTTTATAAAATACATATAAACATATGCAACATGGTGAAAAAGTCTCTAACAATGCAAACTCAGAAAACAAAGAGTCATATCACGTAACACAGATGATACTCAGGTATGGGCTGGCCCCACCTTGTTCATAAAGCTTTGCTTTTATGATCTTATCCATTATAGGTGCTGGTGAATTTAGGATCAGGACACTTTGGAGAAATACACTTCTTTTCTGGAACCATTAAAAAATAGTTTTTTAAAAAGTAGCTGAAGTAGTTTGAGAGTCAAGGCCACACAATAGAATCCATAACAATTTGATGTATATTTGTCTAAGGATTAATTCAATGGCTGCTTAATTCACTGGGTTCTTCAAATCTAATGAAAACTAAGACAGTATTCTGGATCAAACTTATTAGATTTATTTTTCATAAAACATGCCTTTTTATATGCAACACTGAGCATTTTATAATTTGAGATGATTGGTAGCAGTGAATTGGTGAAAATGTGTAGAAAAGTATAATATGGTTACTATGCTTCGTGTATTATAAAGACTATTTGTAGTGATGACAGAGAAATTTTGGAAGCTTAAGCAATCAAGATCTGTGGGTCTTGATAATTCCAGTAAAATAACAATGCATAAATACATACTCTAATATTTGTATGCATTCAATTAAAATGAAGTCAATTAAAACTATTTGTGTTGGCATGTAAATTCTTAAGGGATAATGTATAATAATTAAACATGAATAGGTTTTGTATTAACAGCAGTAGGAAATTAGTCAAGGTGAATGACAAGACTCTCAAGCATAGTACTAATATATGCTCTGATAAACCACTTCTATGGGAATATCTCTTTGAAGTTTTAATTCAAAGTCAGCATGAAATGGAAAATTCATTATTTTGTGTTTCTTAAGGAGTCTCTTGCCTTAGACACCCAAAGTAACTGGAAGAGCTAAGCTTGTTGAATGCCATTTTCATTTTATAGTAATGGAATCCCCTACCAAATAATCCTACACTTAACAATTTCATTTTATAGATATATTAAAGTCTTCTTTAGGTTGCCTTGTTGACTTCTTATGTATTACAGAATGATTTGCATATAAAAACAATCACATAATGAACATGACCCATTTTCTTCATGTCTACTTACACAAAACACAGTAGAAGGAAGAATTTTTGTTTAATGCTTCAATTTTTAAAAAACTGTGGACATTATATAAAATTCTGAAACTGTGAGGGAAAAAATATTTGTGTACCAACTTTAGCGGTAATGACTATCTGTCCTAGTCATGCCTTTTCCTGTCTGCTATTGATAAGGATGAGTGTTGAAATGACACATAATCCTCCACACACTCCATGACAATGAAGTGAACACATACATAAAAATTCCAAATGTCAACTAGATCTGAATTTAGTTTGCTATTTACAGTAGTACATTACTGAGTAATGTATTGAAACAATGCACTAAACTACAATATTAATTTTCATTCATGTTCTTCACTTAACATTTAATTGTTTTAGGCCTTGTATTATTACTTAGGCATTTTACTTCTCACAACTTGTCACCTCAATGAATCATGAGGATCAATAGAGAACGTTATGTTTTCCTAATTAACAGGTCAGACATCTCTTATATTTCTCCTTACTGCTTTGTATAATGCTTTGTACATTATACCTATATTGAATAAATGAACACAAAATGAATGAATGAAAATTATGAAAAGTTAAATATAGTAACATTTATTTACAGCATATTTTCTTCAAGATCAGTTTGTAAAACTCCTTTCATTGAGTCAACTTTGTGATCTTTTCTATACACGGCACAAGGTTTACAATAAAGAGATGCCCATATTGAAGTAAATACAATTAACAAAAAAACCTGTGAATGTCTCAAATATGCCTCAGAGAAATTAAGAATTCTATATGACAGTGATTTTTCTCTTAAAGAATAATTAACAAAAAAAATTATACCATGGAAAATAAGGTAAATTTTACCAAAGAGAAGAATTTCTAAATAATATTAAGAGATTAGGTAGAAATAGTAATGCCATATGCTGGTAAAATAAAAATCTTGATATATCATATTATTATCTTTATTGCTACTGAAAGAGAAAAGTGTATACTGTGCATCACACTCTGAATGAGACATACTTAGTTTCAATTGGAATTTTCATCAGCTGCTAAGTGGTTCTGAACCAGACAGTCAATGCCAGGATTCTGGGTTTTTACACCTCTTTAGATAGCCTTTTTGTCATCTCTCTCCTATTGGGTAGATGATAATAATTCTTAAATGATTCAGTAGTGAGGAAAATAGCTTTATTTTCTTCAAGCAATCCCTTCTTTTTCACCATGCTGCCTCTATTGTCATAGTTTAGTTTGATTAAGCACAACTATGCCATTTTTATTTTAAACTACCTGCACCACAACCTCTGACTTCAATGTAGTTAATCTGAGAAGTAAGCAAATACTAAAATGGAGCTGTCCACGATTATATCATACAAACATTTGGGGAAGTTTTTTCAGATGATTTGATTTGATTAATAACTTTTGATTACTAATATTTTCAGTTAAGATTTGATGTGCAATATTTAATAATATTTTCAGTTAAGATTTATTGAGTGGTTACTATGTGTCAGAAATGGCTTGCAGAGGTTTACATGTAACAATTTATATAATTCTCGCAGCTTTATACATTAGGAGATAGCATCATTTCCAGAGGAGGTATCTGAGCACAGACAGTTGCAGTGCCTTGCCAGGGTCCTACAGGTACAATGCAGTCAATCTGGAACTCCAAACCAGGCTCTCTGGACCAAACCTTGTGCTTGTTACCATCTAGGCCCTCTGCCTCTCTATAAGAATAGTCATTTTTCTTTTAAAAACTATCAAAAAGATTTTTATAAGCCAATGTAGAAAAATCAATAGTAGACAGTGGGTTTGTTACATTTATCATTTTATTTACATCTGAAAAACTATTTCTCATATATGGCATCTCTGAAACCTCTCCTATCTACACCAACTCCTATGCCATCACACATAATAAATTAAAGACACAGATCACAAACACTAACAGTCTTGGCTGTTATGGACCTAAGAGAGAAAAAGAAATGGTTTCAGAAAATTTCTAATAGATTTCTGCACACATACATAAAAAACAAAGAAGTAAAAAAAATACATTGTAAATGTGTGCACTATTTCTAGATGTAACAATTCGAGAAGGTGAAATAGAATAAAGTTCAAAAAACATCAATATCTGATTGTCACCCATAGGTAATCTAATGTTGGCATAATCTCATCCATCTATAAAGGCTAGCAGGATATAAAAGCTCACATTACCATCCACAAACACACAAATATACTGAGTACAACAAAGCCTTATTTTTCACATGAGGATTTTCATTCCCTGATCTTTATTTTCAAGATTTGCTATTTGTTAACTGTTGGTATGAAAACGGTATGACTTAGACAGATCCATCCATTTCCTTTTGTTCCAGAGAAAGCCATTCTCACATGCCATCTAGAGCAACAACTGGTGCTTCAGTTCAAGACTTGATTAACCTTACATCCACTTTAGTAGCGACAGAAAGAAAACAAACATGAATGAGATGCTGGTTCTCATTGGTTTTTACTCATATCACCCTCATTTTCTGTGATATGGTCCCCTGTGGGCCCATGAGCACTAGTCACACAAGGTATTCCTTATTGAATAAACAAAGGGAATAAATACTTCAGGAAGATGAAAAGGAGAGGGGAAAAAAACAAACAAGCAAACAAAAAACCCCTTTGACCTGACATTATGGAAAAAATAAAAAAGACACTAAGATGAAAAAAAAAATAGTGTCATGGTTTACATGTGGGATTTTGATGGAATCTAGGGCTGTGTTTTAATTCAAAACTCACCATCTCAAAACCACTTCTTTTCATCCGCCTGCAGGACTTGAGGTAAGTACGTATACGTTTTCTGGCACGCTCTTGATACTCAGGGAATTGTCGCCTGCATGAGTCAATGATAGCCTGGATCTTTTCTTTGGGCTGCTTAGAGATTGGGACCATTCGGTCCAAGTTTTCATCTACAAACAGCCTGACAAACATCTGTTGGCAAGAGGGAGACAGAGGAGAAGGGTTTGGAGGGCTGCTCTCTGCTGTTCCTAGCTTCCTGTCTTGATTACCGAAAGGAAAATACTCTTTTCTGGTTTATGCACTGGAGAACTTTGCAATGGAAAGCCAGAAATTTTAAGCAAACACCCTTTAAAGACTTTCTAAATGGTTGGATAAAAAATAGAGACAGAAAAAGAGAGAGAGAAAAGCAGACAGACACAGACAGACAGAAAAGTATAGACTATCATGTAGAAAAAAATCAGGAAATAACAGTAGACTGCGACAATTAAGCACCCCATCAAATTCTCTATTAATGATAAATACGACTGCTACATTGCTACAGTGCACAGTGTGCTAATCTCTGAAAACAAACAACTGACTCTTTGTCATGCATAATTACATAAACTGGGAAAGCAAAAGAAATAACTGATGACGGGCGTACTCTTCTGAGGAATAAGCTGAGGCCCCCTTCATCCACTAGGTAAACATGCATACTCACACAACACAACTCCAGTTTTCAGCTCACATTGGGCTTTAAAAGTCTAAACAAAACACAGCAATTCTGGTGTCTGGTTGGCAAAGAGTGTTTCATGTACTTTTAAAATCCTTCTGTAAATTGAACAAACATGTCTCTAAAATATCCACATTTACCAACAAGCAACAACATGAAAGTGAAGTGGTAAAAACGAAGCCACACTGGGAGTGTGGCAGGACTCACATTAAAAGCCTTCAGCCGCTCCGCCTCAACGCCATCTGTCTCGTTAACTTTCTCAGAATCGTCATGGTCATCATGGTCATCTTCATCCTCATCTCCCCTGTTCAGGGAGAGGTCCTCAGCACCTCGGTCTACACTCTCATTTTTGCCAGAGTCGTAGCTTGAGTAGCTATGTGCAGGAGACTGAAAAGAAAGGGAGAAATGGCTCCTTTGAAATTCATTGCACAGGCTTTTATACTTTGTTTTATTTTTAATTTCAACTGTTTAAATGAATTGATAATTCTAGAGCTGTAGCGATTTTAACCCAAAATTAATTAAAATTAACTTAAATTAAAAATTCATTTCCTCAGTCAAATCAGTCCCATTTTAAGCGCTCAATAGCCACATGGAACATTTCCATCACTGTAGAACGTTTTCCTAAATTTAGCTTTTCAAGAGCAGTTACTGTTTCCACTCAATAACTATATTCCAAAAGAAAAACCAACCTGTAATCAGTTTTGCAAGAGAATCATCAAATAACATATTTTTAGAAATGGAAATGACTTCAGAGCTTAGTCAGTCTAACTGCATTAGTATTCTATAAACAAAGAAACTAAGGGATAGATATGTTTAATTGACTTGCCCAACCAGGACTATACAAAATATTTTTGAGCCTAGGGGTGTTATTTATAAGACAACATGCTTTAGAATTAGTTTATAAATTGTCTGTGAGTCTTAAGATAGCATCTGGTTTTGGTTTAGGAAAAAAGAACCAGGTTTCCTCCTAATTATCTGTTAAGCTTATAACTTCCTGATGCATAAAAGATGAATGCCCATGAAGATAATTTTCACAAACTTTGATATTTGTGTCCAAGACCAACCATGGGTCTTGCTGTGGTATCTCCTACTTCTTTATCAGCCCAATTATTTTACTTTCAGAAACAGACCCTGCTTCACCAGGTGAAAGTGCCACTCTTGTGGGCATCAACCTTCTCTGCCATAGGTGTGTGTGCCTCAACTTGACCTCTAGGTGATGAAAGCTTGCCTGTAACTGAAATCAAGTTGAATCCAACAGAGCTAAGCAGAATAGAAACAGTTCTGATAACATTATCTGAGCATCCAGATTCAGCTGTGCCTGAAATTAACCCACGGACACTTCAGCTGTGTGATACCATACATCCTCTACTCTCTCCACCTTTTTATTTATTTATTTGTGCTTAAATCTGAGTTTCAGTCACTTGCAACTGAATCTGAAGTGGTACAGAAATCAATCCTTACAAGTCCAGATTAATAATGCAGATTTCACACACGATAACTTACAAACATAGCTCCAGCTAAATAGATAATAATATCTATAAACAGCAGCAGCTATCCTCAAATCTATTAACAATATAAAATGCTTTGGAAAGACCTTTACAGCGGGAAATTTTAAGTCAGTAGTGTTCAAAAATGCCTTCTTGCAATGATAACATGTGGTGCATGCATTAAGGATCACACTAATATATTATAACTGTATAATCAGAGGAGTGATAATAAAACTAGAATATCTCACTGATATTAAAAGTGAACTCAAAATTTAAAGACCAGCATATTTTTACAGTTCAAATCATTAACAAGGTGGAATTACCTAATAAAGTATATGGCAAATATTCCATAGGTTTTAAAAATATACCTTATGTAATATATTTTTAAAATGGCAACCTGAATATTTGAAAAACGTTATAGTACACTTATCTCTGTGCAAATATACTGGGCTAATTTGTTCTTTCTACATATTGTGTAAAACACTCAAGCCAGGCATCTGCTACAAACAGAACGACTTGGAACTATGAAGGATTTATAGCCTTGTTACTCCAGGTAAAGAAAGCCCAATTGCACAGATCTGAGAATATTCAGAATCTAAATCTAAAGTATAACCAATGTTTTTTTCCTCTACAATGTAAACTGAAATTTTTATAACTGAATTTTGTTTCTCAGCTGGAGTGTTATTTCTTGCCCTTCTTATTGCTGAAGATCCAACTAGCTTTCAAGGCCAGATTAAGTTCAACTTCTACAAAGATTCCTGCTTTCACCTCAATCCACCTCCATCTTACTTAAATTGTGAACTCTGAATATACTATGGCATTGACACAGAATTAAACACAACCATTACTCTCTACTTTTCATGTTAATTTGCATTTTTCTTCAAGGCATCAACACAAGTCCTTCTACCTTTTCCCTCACAGCATCCAAGAAATGCTCTCTACAGATTTGGCATTCACGATGTTTGTAGTTTCACTTTTTCTACAAAACTATTTGGTCTCAAAAAATGGGAGAATAAAGAGAAGCCAAAGGTTGAGAGAAAATATTTACAGAAGACACATCTGATAAAGGACTGCTATCCGAAATATACAAAGAACACTAAAAACCCAACAAGAGAACAATCTGACTAAAATGGGGTGATATCAGCTTCATGGCAGAGTAAGCTCTTCCCTTGGCCTCTCCCCTCTAAGATACAACTGAAAGGACATTCATACACCAATAGAGGACATACACACATCACAAAAGATGTCTGAGAGACCCACGCAACCATATGCCTGAAGGTGGTGGTGGGGCTGGATCCTCCAGAGGAATTGGAAGCTGATCCACAGGAGGTCCGTGGAGAAAGATGGGCCACGGCAGCAGGAAGTGTGCTGGTGAAAAGGGCACTCCATCCCCACTGGGTACTCCAGCCCAAGAATCATCCAGAGCACGGTGTGCTGAGCATGGTAGTAGTGGCAGGCAAAGTCCGCAGTCCCAGGATCACCCAGAGTAAGGTGCAGAGAGTGTGCCAGCAGCAGAGGGGAAAGTGTGCAGGAGAGGGAGGTGCCCCGTCACCGCCTGGCACTCCAGCCCTAGGATCACCCAGAGCATGGCCCAGAGAGCTTGGCGGTGGCAGTGGGGAAAGTGCGCAGCCCCAGACTCATCTGGAGCATGGTGTGGAGAATTTGGCAGAGGCAGCAGGGAAAATGTGTAGGTGAGGAGAGTTACCCTGTCCCTTCCCAGCACTCCAGCGCCACTATTGCTCCATGCATGGAGCAGTGAGCGAGGCAGCAGTGGCTGGGAAAAGGGAAAGGCACAGTCTTGCAATCACCCAGAGCTCCGTACAGAGAGACAAGCAGGCACTGGGGGAAGTGCTGAGGAAGGAGAGTACCCCTCCCCCTGCCCAGTGCTCAAGGTCTGCCATCAATCAGTCACTCAGAGAGAGAAGCGGTCAGTGGCTGGAGCTGGGGAGCCCGTTTGTGCTAGGCCCAGAATACACAGCGCCTGATCCCCACCCAGTGGTGGTATGTGGCAGCTGCGGCCATATAAGAGCACCATGAGGAAGGAAAAGTCCACTCCATTAAGCAGTATGAGTAGGTATATTAAATCTCCAGACCAGAAGGAAAGTGACAAGTACCCAGAAACCAACCCTGAAGGCACAGAAATCCATAACCTAAATGACAAAGAATTCAAAATAGCTATCATAAAAAAACTCAAGGAGTTACAAGAAAACACAGAAAGACAATGAATTCCAGAGCTTCTTCTCAAAGAAGACTGAAACCATAAAGAAGAACCAATCAGAATTGTTGGAGATGAAAACCACAATGGATGAAATAAAGAAAAATCTGGATTCCCTAAAGAACAGAGCTGACAATATGGAGAAGAAAATCAGCCAGCTAGAGGATAGTACTATAGAAATGCTTCAGAGGGAGGAGAAGAGAGAACTAAGACTAAAAAGAAAGGAAGAAGCTCTCAGAGAAATATCTGACTCAATCAGGAAATGCAAAATAAGGATTATAGTTATTCCAGAGGGGGAAGAGAAGAATGAAGCAGAAAGCTTGTTCAAAGAAATAATAGCTGAGAACATCCCAAACCTAGGGAGGGAGCTGGAAATCCATGTAAAAGAGGCCTCCAAATCTCCTAACTTTGTCAGTGTACAAAGACCTACTCCAAGGCATATAGTGTTGAAACTGGCAAAAGTCAAGGACAAAGAAAATATACTAAGGGCAGCAAGGAAGAATAACTTACAAAGGAATTCCTATCAAGCTTTCAGTGGATTTCTCAGCAGAAACCTTATAGGCTAAGAGAGAGTGAAAGACAAAAACTTTCAGCCAAGAATACTCTATCCAGTGAAAATCTCCTTCAGATATGACAGAGAAATAAAAACTTTCCCAGATAAACAAAAGCTAAAGGAGTTCATTGCCACAAGAACCCCTAAGAAATCCTCAAGAAGGCCCTCCTACCCGAAAAAAAAAAAAAGGAAAGAGGCTACAAAGCCCTGAGAAAGGAGGTGAATAGGTAGGCAATAATCAGAAAACAGCAGCTGTCTATCAGATCACGTTAGTAAACACTTACCTTTAACATCAAGGATAAAGAAAAGGAAAACAGCAAAACAAAAACGATCTCCTTGTTTTAATCACAAACTCACAATACAAGATGGAAAAAGATACAACAAAAATAATTTAGAAAGGGAAGAAGAAAGGGATGGAATCAGTATAGTCTAAGGAAAAAAGAGGCTATCAGAAAATGGACTATCTCAACTACAAAGATTTTTTATACAAACCTAAGGGTAACCACTAAACAAATAGTCAGAATAGAGACATTTACAATAAACAAGGAGAAAATGAAGAAAACTAACAGAGAAAACTACCTAATCAAATTGGTAGTCCGAAATACATACGACAAGAAACAAAGGAAATGCATAAGAACCAGGAAAAGTGCAATAAGATGGCAATATTAAGCCCTCAAATATCAATCATCACTCTAAATGTAAATGGATTGAATTCTCCAATAAAAAGACACAGAGTGGTAGGATGGACTAAAGAACAAGACCCAACAATACGCCACCTCCAGGAAACACATCTCAGCTCTAGAGACAAATAGGCTCAGAGTGAAGGGATGGAAGACAATACTCCAAGCTAATGGCAAACAAGAGAAAGCGGGTGTTGCCATACTTACATCAGACAAAGTAGACTTCAAGATAAAACTCGTAAAGAGAGACATAGAGGGGCTGATAAATGATAAAATGATAAAAGGGACTCTCCATCAAGAAGACATAACACTTATAAACATTTATGCACCCAACACAGGAAGACCAAAGTACATAAAGCAACTATTAACAAATCTAAAAGGAGATATCAATGACAATACAGTAATAGTAGGGGACCTCAACACCCCGCTTATATCAATGGATAGATTATCCA